GATTACAGGCGTGCACCACCATGCCTGGCTCTTTTTAAAATTTTTTATCTTAAAATGGAGGCCTCACAAAATTGCCCAAGCTGGCCTTGAACTTGCCACCCTCCCGCATACCTGGGATTGCAGAGAATGGTACTGCAGCAGCTCTGGCCTGTTTCTGAATCTGTCCACAGCCGCCTGACCTGCCTTCTCCCTGCTCAGGGGGTTGATGTTGAGAAGTGCATGGGGCCTGTATCAGCTGTGTTACTGCATTTATTCTCTTTGGAGAGCTGGCTATGCCAGGCTGAGTATTAGTTATCTTTTGGTTCTTCTTTTTCTTGTGGGGCTGGGGGTCGGAACCTAGGGCCTCACACATGCCAGGCAAACGCTGTAGCCCTGAGCTACGCCCCTGGTCCACTTTTGGTCTTGAGTCTGTCATGCAATCAAGTAAATGCTTGCTCTGTTTTGTTCAACACTGTATTTCCAGCAGCTGGTAGGTGCTTAGTGAACATGTACCAAATGAACACGCGATACCGGCTCCTTTTTGCACAGTGGGCACCAGGGCTGCTGCTGAGCTGTCATTAGCCCCACTTAGCAGACGAGGAAGCCAGGGACACGCATGACCAGATGGGAGCTGTGATGTAGCCCGCACTTTGACCCACCCTACCCCAGGCTGTCCCCTGTCGCCAGAGGTCCGGGCCTGGGCAGCTTTCTGCCCCCTCTGCAGCCGACCCGATCCACTTCCAGCCCTCTGTGTCCCCACCCCCACGCCCTGCAGCCTTTTCTCAGGCTCGTAGCCTCCCCTGCCAGCTCTGTCCTGAGAACCTCTGTCCTAGAGAAGGTGCGGCCTGATCACTGGGCCTTCCTCGCCCGCAGGCGACTTGGCTATAAATATGGGGGTCACGCCTTGCTGTCGTATTCAGCACCTTTCATCTGGGGTGCTCCCGGCTGCTGGGACAGAGGCTAATTAGCTGCTCTCTGGGAAGACGGTAAGAACTGCAGCCTCAGCAGGGAAGCAGCTGACTCAGGCCAGGGCTGGGTCTCCCGGGTGAGCCATCAGCTCTGGCCACACACCCCTCCACTTCTGTCTGCTGCAGGCCCTCCTCACAAGGAGGCTTATATTCTCTGGCTTACAATGAAGGCCACCATTTATTGAGCCCTTACTCTGTTGCCAAGGGCCTGCTAAGCATTTCCAGGCCTATTAAACGTACCCACACCTGCAGCAGCACCCTGCTATTGTGAAATAACAAGGCTCCCGTGATAGATCTTGACTCCTTGCCGGCAGGGGCCCGTGCTTCTGCACATGACCTCACGAGGAGCCCTTCATGCCTGGCACGGAGGAAGCTCTGGAGAAGTGGTGGATATTACTAGTAATCTTCAGAATGACCAGATGAGGCACGTACTACGGTAGACCCATTTTCCAGATGATAACGCTGCGGCTCAGAAGGGTTCAGTCACTTACAGGAGATCACGTAGAATTAGCAGCACAGTTGGACTTGTTGCATAGCTTTTCAGCTGTTCTTTCTCCCAGATGGAGTCTTTTACCCCAAAGACCTTACAACGCCTGACACAGGAGCACCAGGGTCACCTGGTCACTGTAGGACCCTCTTCCCACCCTTCTCCAGTGGTGTGTAGTGGACTGAGCTTGGAGATCATCTAATAAAACTCAGCCTCACCCATTTTTCCAATGAGGAAACCAGGAGTGGAAGGGCAGGACTGACGTGAAGGTGCCTCCTTGGCAGAGTTTGAGGGCTGAAGAGGCGGTGGTTGGTGGATACCCCCTTTCCTTCCAGGGAGCTGGCAGCAGGACCCATCAGCAAGCATCTGCACACCAGAACTCCTGGCAGCCATGTGCCGGCCTGGCCAACCCCAACAGCTGCCCCAGGACATTACGGTGGCATCGGGTGAGTCAGCAGGTTCAGTGGGGCTGGGGCCGGGGCCGGCGCAGGGATGGTGCGTTCCACCTACTGCCTTCGGAGGTGCGTGGGAGAGGAGGGCAGCCTGGGGCGGGTTCACCCCTCTGCAGCCTGCCACATGTGCCACTGTAGCCAGCCGGTGTGCACAGAGCACAGGTGCTCACTGGAGAAGCGGCTGGATCCCCACGCACTGTGGGACGCCCCGCTGGGCAGGCGACGACACCACGCTGTCTTCTCCCCACTGCCCTGCCACGCTGCTCCCGTCAGACGTGACTGTCCTTCAGCTGCAAGGAAGGGGCCAAGCAAGTCTGACCTGGGCAGTGAGAGGGTCACGGACCCGGGGCTGGGGCCAGGACTCTCGGAGGTGGGCATCATTCTTGGCCATTGAAGGGTGACTGTGCTCTCTGAATGCTGTCTCTTCTCTCTCTGAAGAGGGCCCGGCCGTCTGACCCTCGCTCCCTGCCCCATAGGTCCTGCCTCTACCTCTGCTTTCATCTGGTGTCTACCTCTTCCCACCTGCGCTGCCTGTCTCCCCCAGGCCCTTTTTCAGGGCGCTCACCTCCTGCCCAGGACCTCTGGTCTCTCATTGTATGGTCTCAGCTTAAGGATTTTCTGAGACCACCCCGGACAGCTCCTTAGGCCCAACTTAAATTACAGGTGCTTCTTGATTTGCAATTAGGTCATGTGCCAGTGGACCAAGCACATTCAATACCCTAACCTACCGAACACAGCTTGGCCACAGAGTGCACTGCGGAGTGCAGGTAGTTTCTATCCATGACTGCCAGGGCTGACTGGGATCTGGCTGCAAGAGAGAGTACTGCAGTGCATTCTGCTAGCCCAAGAAAAGATCAACATTCAAAATTCAAATGTGGCTTCTACTGAAAACTGTGTACTGCTCTTGCACCATCTTAAAGTTGGAAAACCACATTCTCACTATGTAGCTCAGGATGGCCTTGAACTCATGGCAACCCTCCTGCCTCAGCCTCCTGAGTGCTGGGATTACAGCACTGGGCCAGGGTACCCGGCTGTCATTCCCTATCTCTCTATGTTCTTCGAGTACCTTTATTCTATTCTGTCACAGGGGTTTGGAAACCTTTGCAAAGGGACTCATATATTTAAGAGAGTATTTGAACAAGGCTGTCTCCCCTACTAGACTAAGATCTAAGAGGGTAGTTCACTTCGTATTTTCTGTGCTTTTCGAGGCACATTACATATTGAACGAGTGAATGAATGACAGAGTCGCCGGACAGGATGAGGGAGCTGAGCCAGTGGTCTCTAAGTGTGGTCTCAGGGCTATAAACCAACAGCACCCTCTCCTGCAACTTGTTAGACATGCAAACTCCCTGACTTGGGATGGCCCCAGCCATCCGGCTCTGCACAAGCTGCCAGGAGGTTCTGATGCACACTAGCCACTGAGAACCATAGAGGGAAGCAAATCCCCCGCTGCTGCTCCGTGTGCACTTGACTCTAGGCAGCTTCGGCAGCCCGTAAGAGGAGCCGGGATGAGCGAGACCACGCGTTCAAAGCAGGATGCGCTGAGAGGGAGGG